ATCTTTATGGAAGCAGACTGTCTCATTCTTCTCCCATGGAGTGGCTGGTGGGTTGGAACGGCTGACCTTTTGGTTAGCAGCCGAATGCTAGTTACCTTATGTTAATTAATTGATTAGTATTAGGATGGAGATACCAAGAATACCTTGTGCAAATCTCTAGAGCCCTCAGTGTATCTCTCTCTTCTGCAGTATTTTTTCCTGAGAACTGTAGCCTAGGTTTCCCTTGACTCTAACATCCACATTTTCAACTTAAGCAAATGACTGGCCTCCTCCTGGGTTCCCTTTTCTGGACATCAGCCTGGAAAATCTCTCCAAACAATAATCTGGGGCAATAGGAAGGCTCACATTGTTTGTTTCTCTTCTTTCGGGAAATTTGTCTTCCACTTTCTGATGTTCAATGACTTTTTGAAAAGTTTTATTTCCTATAATGTGTCCAGGTTTTAGTTGTTTCAGTTAGGGAGATAAATCCAGTCCCTGTTACTCCTTGTTTGAAAGCAGAAATGTGGCTTAATGCTTAAAATGAAGCATGCTCAAAATGCTTAATGCTTAAAATGAAGGCTTTATTTAGCTTCTAACCAGAGTACATTTCCTATCTGAAATTGCATATCTGTGTCCAGTGTCGATGTCCTCTCTCCACTCTGGCCCTGACCAGAAGGTTCAAGCTGCAATGTTTTCTTTGGTCACACGGTGGCCTTTAAATTTATCATACGGATCTTTCAAGGGGCTTGGATTTTTTGAGGGAAGAAAAAAGAGGTAATTGTTTTTATTAAAAACTTATTAGATATTATCTTCATTATCATCTCAATTCTGTCACAAATACATAAAAACCAAAAATGTATCTTTATCATTTGCTGAATAGCACTAAATCAGTAATTTATTATTTTAGTTTTTATTTATTCATTCATTCAACAAGTGTCTACTGGATGCACATGATGTGCCAAACACCGATGGCTTCTTTGTCTAAATCCTAAACTTTTTTCTTGGACATCCTTTTTCTTTGAGAAGAGCCACCTCTGCCACATGGACCAGAGCACACTCCTTAATCTCACTGCCTGCTACTTGGCAGAAATTTTAGGCATTTATGGGAATAATTTGTCTAACTCTTTCGTGGAGGATGGCCACACTGAGGGAGCAAAGGAATCTCACCATGCAACATATAGAAATAATATGAATATGCACATACAGGCAGAACCTTGGATATGACTGCTCCCCTCGAGGGGACCTCATGTCTCTATTCCCTTATTGCTTTTTGCTCACTCTCTGCTGGTTGTTTTTTGTCTGAGCATTGTACATGGGCTATGACCACTCACATGCTACTCCCTTACTGCTTCAGACCCAGACACTCTGTTAAGAGCCAAAGGAAGTTGGGTAGCAGAGGGCTCTCTCTCTCGAGATTGAAACACTAAACCCATCTTTTTCTGAGGTTGACAGGGCCACTTGGATCTGCCTCAACATGGAAGAGATGCACATTTTCCTGGGCATATGTATGTCTAACATTTTATCGTGGATATGCCAGGGGTTCAGTTGTGAGCTTCTAGTTTCTCTTCATGAAGGAACGGCTGAACACCCTTAGGTCACTGAAGCCAGAAGGCTGCTCTTTTTCATAGAAGCTGGTGCTAACATTGACAATTGACAATCAGGAATAAGAAGTCTAGTAGAGCACAAGCTGCTCTGTTTATTAATTTTCCTCTCCTTTCAGCTCTGGCCTTTCCCTTTATAAACATCCATCTTGCTAAGTTTGCCGTGTGTTTCAAGCACCTGGAGGAGGCTTGGCATTGTTTAGGCATCTGATTCATGATGTGTGAGGTTTGCTGTGTTAGATGACATTTCCACCTACTTTTTTCCTTTTGGTTTCATAAGTGTTATTGTGTTGTTATATTGTAGAAGAGGGGTCAGCAAACTTTTTCTATCAAGATCCAGATATAAATATTTTAGGCTTTGCCAGCAGGTCATACAGTCTCTGTCATAACTACTCAGCTCTGCTATTATAGTACAAAAACAGCTATAGACAATATGTAACTGAATAAGCATGGCTCAGTGCCAATAAAACTATATTTATGGGCACAAATACTTGAATTTTATATAATTGTCAAGTGCCACTAAATATTATTTTGTTTTTTTTCAATCAGTTAAATATGTAAAAACCATTTCTAGCTTGTAGATCAAGCTTGTCGAACAAAACCAGACAGTGGGCCAGATTTGGTACATGAGCCACGGTTTGCCAATCTGTTCCAGAATCCTACTTTTAAGTTTACTTCCACAAAAGGCTGTCTTGACACATATGTGTATATTCCACTTGATTAGCACACTCTGAAGGCAACTTTGTTGCCTAAGTTCATTTGCGGGTTTAACTCCAGTAGCCCTCGCATGAACTTCTTTTCATAAAGACCTCACATCTGGGATCCCACTGATACGTGGACATGATTTCCTGACATCTAATTCAGTATGTTGTTAGATGTTGATTTTTGACTCATAGGGACTCCCATGTGACAGAACAGAACAGATCCATAAGGTTTTCTAGGTTGTAATCTTTAGAAGAGAAGATTACCAAGTCTTTCTCCCATGGGGCCACTGGGTGGGTTAGAACTGTCAACCTTTCAGTTAGCAGCTGAGAGTTTAACTGTTGTGCCACCAGGGCTCTTTTAACTCAATGTAACCAACAACAAAACCAAACTCACTGCTGTCGAGTTGATCCCAACTCATAGGGTCCCGTCCTTGGGTTTCTGAGGCAGGATCTCTATGGAAATAAACTGCCCAGTCTTCCTTCTGAGGAGTAGCTGGTGGGTTTGAACTGCCAACCTTCTGGTTAGCAGTCAAATGCCTTAGGCACTATGCCACCAGAGCTCCTAGGATAAAAAAATTATTTACATTCATAGGTTTGATGTGGCAGTTGACTGGTGTGAGGAGGGGATGTCTCAGATTAGAAGTAACCTGTATTCCCTCATACCTCTTTCATAGTCTGAACTGTGAGAATTCACCCTAAGGAAAAAGAAAATTAACAGATAAGGTTTTTCCATGAAGCTAAATGGGAGAAGGGACTTACCCACACCTTCATGAAGCAGAGTGAGGGTTCAATTCACTGTGGGTTCTAGAAAAACCAGTGGGACTTTCCTTGAGAATTCCTGAACATCTGCAGTGGTAGTGTCCAGCAAGGGTGTAAGACCCAGAAGATAAGAGCAATACCCAGGGAAGACCATGGGGATGGAGCTTATCAACAGAGAAATGAAATACTTACCTTTCAGTACACTGGAATTGGTTGTTGAAAAATGAGAAAATATAAACAAGAAAATAAAAACCACCATAATCCAACCACAGAGAAATAAACACTGTAATAATTTAACTTTACATATTCTTACACTGTTTATATTTACCTATAAAAATAGAGGAAGCTCTGGAGGCATAGTGCCTAAGGCACTTGACTGCTAACCAGAAGGCTGGCAGTTCACACCCACCAGCAACTCCTCGGAGGAAGGTTGGGCAATCTACTTCTGTAGTGATACCACTTTGGAAACCCAAGGAGTGGTCGCTATGAGTCGGAAGTGTAAGATTTGAAATAAAAATAATAAATAGAGAAACTTCTTTTTTTAAACTGCTTTATTAACTTCACAATATATAATGAACATGTTTACAGGCAACAGATAAAACTCCTCTGTTGACAAACTTACGGACTGGGTCAAAAACACAACATTTAATTAGAAGCTGGTAATAGGAGACCCATCAGAAACAAGTAATATCAAAAGGTATACAATAAAGGGACCTCACACACTTAAGTTTAAGAAGCAGGGGTCTCCCTATTAACTTCAAGGAAAACATGAGGATTCATGGCATAAGGCAAAACTCATCATGATGGTCATGGTAAGGGGGGTCAGTGCTAACTGCCCGAAGACTGTGACTCAATTGCTTTCCCCTCAGTTTTTCCATCAGCTCTTTCACCTCCTCCCTAATCCTTTCCACATTATCTTCTCTCATCTTTGCCTGTGGTTCTCCAAGCTTCTGAACCATGTCCCATCTATACTGTAGGATGGGCTGCCTAACTCGGAGTCGCCTACCACTTCCTCTAGGCACACAGTATTCACCACCTTCCAAAGGGAGTGCCAAGGGCTCTCCTTTATTAGTGTCTTGCTCTTTTTCATCCTTTTCTTCATTTTCCTGGAGGGCATTTTCCACCTTGAGATTTTTTCCCGTTTGTTCTCTTTTGGACTCCATTAATCCTAGGAGACAAGATGAGAGAAGGAAGTGAATGCATCCTGGAGAGATCAGCACCGAGGACAGAGGCCCTACTATGCAACTTTCCCTATTCAGGGATCTGGATATTCAAAGGTTTTTTTTAAATTTCCTTTTTCCCACCTGAACAACCAGCGCGCCCACTAGAGGGCTCACACTTTTCTATCCTCCCTCCCCATTCCCCCAAGCCCACCATTTTTCCTGCCGCTGCTTTGTCAGGCCTCTACAGGCACTAAAATGGAGGACAGAATGGAGGATGGGGGATGGATGACAGGGGTCTTAGGCTGGGCTCTGCCCCTAACCCCGCCCCGTCACGGTTCCTCGCACCAACCTGGGCCTATCCTGGCAGTCTCCTGCTCCTCCCGATCCTCGCCACCAGGTGCGCCGCCGCGACCCTGAGATCGGCAGACCTGCAGACCGCCGGGGTCGGGAGAGCGAGAGCTGCTGCGGCTGAGCGCTGGCGCCGCCCCGCCCCCTCGGACTCCGCCCCCCTCGCTGCCCGCCCTCCCCACTGACCACCATTTTCTGCGCGAGGGAAGACCCGGGAGGAACCGGGTGTTGAAGACGCCTGCGGTGGTGGGAGAAGCAGGTGTTTCCCAAAAATCGTCGCCTCGGCCTGCAGGGCCCGCCAGCTCCTTCCCACAGGAGAGGCCTACCATTCTCTGCACGCACCGGTTCGCGGCGGGTCGTGGGGGCTGCAGCTCCAGACGTGTTGCTGCGGGCTCTGCGCCCCTCTGCCTTCAGCTGTCGGACTTCTTGAAAGGATCTTCCGGTGTTCTCACTCCCACACCAGCCCCAGGAACCCCTCCTGGGTTTCTTATCAGCTCCGGTCCTGGGTTCCTGGGGCGCCTCTAGCCCTCACGCCCTCTGAGCCGCGGGGAACACGAACGGAGAAGGGAGTAGTGAGGGCCCGTCTGGACTGTGAAGGAGTGCAGGTCGGCACTGGCCAGTCACGTGAGGGTTTCTCGCTGCGCCGCTCCGCCCCACGCTGTGTCCACTCCTGTTGCCCTGGAATCAGGCAAAACGGCCCTCCCGCCTCCCTTCTCACTTTGAGTTCCTTTAACATAACCACCTAGGGACCTGTCAGTCAACCTCTTGCTGAGCCACGAGCCTTTCTCTCCCCCTCGGAAAGGCAGCATTTGCGCAAGGGGCTGTTGGCCATTTCTTCTGCTTCTTTGGGGATTTTCTTTTCCCCCTCCTCTGTTCCCAGATAGATCTTTCTTCCCTTACCTGCTGTCCTCTCTGCTAGCAATGCTCACCATTTTCCCTCTACTGAAATACAGGGAAGAGGTGTGCCAGGAAAAGAGGTGGGAGAGTGGATTTTTTATTTCTAAGTCTTGATACCATCCTGTTTCGTTCCTTTTCAATTCAACAACAGTAAAAATCAGTTAATCAGTATATACCTTTTAAAGGAGTAAGAAAGTTATTTGAAAAAGAGGATTAAAGTTGAAAAAAAGACTAACCACGTGTCTCTTCTACTAGGTCATTATATAAATATAGACTACAGGCAGCTGCATTTTTAGAACTTGGAAAAAGGACAGGGCAGCTGATAGCTCCTCTTTTGAGGGGCCCCAGACACATGAGGATCTTCCAGGAAGTGAATCAGTGAGTCTCTTGTGCAGCAGAGTTTTGTTGTTGGATTTTCAGAACTAACAAATCTTTCACAAAGTTCTGGTTTAAAAAGCAATGACTGTGTCTCTATTTGCAAATCACATGCTCCTGTATTTAGAGAAACTTAAAGGAGCTACAAAAAAAATATGATACAACTAAGAAGTGAATTTACCAAGATTGTAGTCACAAGGTAAAAATACAAAAATCAGTTGCCTTCCTATACGCTAGTAATGACCGTTTGGAAATTGAAATTGAAATGTGGGTAGGTTTAAAATTTATAGTCCAAAAAACCAAACCCATTGCCATCAAGTCAATTCCGACTCATAGTGAACCCATAGGAGAGAGTGGAACGGCTCCATAGTGTTTCCAAGGCTGTAAATCTTCTTCCATGGTGCACCTAGTGGGTTTAAACCACTTTTAGTTTGCTGTTGAGCGATTTAACTACTGCACCACCAGGGCTCCATGAATTTATAGAAGCTTCCAAAATTATAAAATCCTTAGGGATAAATTTAACAAAATATGTAGAAAACTTGCATACTGAAAACTACAGAAAACAGTGCTGAAAGAAACTAAAGACCAAAATAAACATAAAGATACACCGTGGTCCTGGGTCAGGAGATTCAGTGCTGTTAAGATGTCAATTCTCTCCAAATTCAGTGTAATCAAAATCAGAATACAAAGAGGCACTTAAAAAAATTATTGTGATTTGGGTGAAAGTTTACAGAGCAAATTCCTCCCTGTAGTTACCTCTTCCCCGTGTCCTTGTTTCCTATGCAGTCAGGCCCCCTGAGCTATGTCCCGGTACAGATATGGCCTTTCTATTCTTCCATGATTGATCATTCTAAGGAGTGTATCTGTTATAGGAGGTTGTTGTTGTTGTTGTTAAGTGCCGTTGAGTAGTTTCCGACTCATAGCGACCCCATGCACAGCAGAACGAAACACTGCCCGATCCCTCGCCAGCCCCACAATCCCTGCTATACTTG